AGACAGAGTCTTGCTCTGTCACCAGGCTGGAGTGCAGTGGCGCAATCTCAGCTCACTGCAACCTCCACCTCCTGGGTTTAAGCGATTCTTCCGCCTCAGCCTCCCGAGTAGCTGGGACCACAGGCGCGTGCCACCACGCCCAGCTAATTTTTTTGTATTTTTAGTAGAGACGGGATTTCATCATGTTGGCCAGGATGGTCTCGATCTCTTGACCTAGTGATCCACCAGCCTCGGCCTCCCAAAGTGCTGGGATTACACGCGTGAGCCACTATGTCTGGCCTACTCTGTCTCTTCTAATCAGAGAATTTGAGTCATCCTGTTCCTGGTTGTGTCATCTTTACTTCAACCCTCAGGCCAAGGCTAAGTCAGTGGCCTTTTCTGTCTTGCTCCTGTGTTCCCATTGGTTCACAGCTACTGACAGCTTACTAGGCAATATTTCCTAGTCTTCGCTCTCAGAAATATCTGCATCATGTTTCATCTCACAGGCCTGAATATGCTGCACTTCTTTGCCTCCAGAAATGCCTGCTTGCTTTCTCAGCTTCTTCATTTCTTCCTTCCCCAGTTCTTTGGTTCTCAGCACTTTCCTTTCTGTCTTGCTGACCTTCTACATCTGAGTCTCTTTCTCACTACTGGAACCATCTTTAGATACAGTGGGAACCAGGATCCCCATAAATTGATGGGAGCTGTAATTCCCCAAATAAGTGACACTTCCATCTTCCACCCCAGTAAGGGAATTCTGATAACAGAGGAAACAGGGCTCTTGCAGCTGGTCTTTTGGCTTCTGACTTCATGGAGATGCCCTCAGAGTTCTCTGGTAGAGTGCAAGGACTCAAAGGGACTCCAGGGATAAACTGGAGCCAAGGAATACAAAGTGACCACCCCAAAATTACACTAGTTGACGGAAATCCCATTCTCTCCCTTCCCACTTCTCCCACTGGCTATCCTGACCCATACTGATGTCCCACATCATTTGGTCACCCCAGACCTTCCTAACATCAATTGGGCAATATAAGCAGAGTCATTTACAGAGTTTACAGGCCGTAACATACAACAAAGGTGAAATACAAAACATTGAGGTAAAGGATATTTTTCACAGGGGGCTGAGCCAAGACATTTGCCTTTAATCTGGGTCTTTTCTTTTTCTCGGCAAACAGGAAAACTGAAGAACATACAAGTTACCAATCACAGTCAACTATCTCGGAATAGGATCTGTGAGATCCATCTGACTTGTTCTGTGGAGGATCCAAATGACAACATCTCATTCAAATGGGAGGCCTTGGGAAAGACACTTCTAAGTGAGCCAAACCTCACTATCTCCTGGGACCCCAGGAATTCCAGTGAACAGGACTACACCTGCATAGCAGAGAATGCCGTCAGCAATTTATCCTTCTCTGTTTCTGCCCAGAAACTTTGTGGAGGTAACAGCCTGCCTCAGATCTGAGAGCCTTGAGCAGCCGTGGGATTTAGTGCATCCTCACACCCTACATAATTTCCAAAACAGTGGCCCAGTGGGAGGCAGAAAATGCTGCTGGGGGGGACGGATGCCCTCTGGAGCTCTGCATCTCTCAGTACTCCCAGAGGACTCACCTTCCTTCCTCCTCATTCCCCAATCCCTCCTCCAACACACTCAGAACCCAAGACCAAAGGCCTGGGAAGGCAGGGTTGCTTTCCCTCCCTGACTCCACTGGGTCCCACCCTCCCCTGCCTGCCACACAGGACTCCAACCCCAGAGCCTCTGGGTATAGACAAACCTACCCAGCCCCCAAAGATGGACTAGAAGAGGCTCCATGGAGGCTCCAAGAACAGTTGACCTCACTTGATGTGTCTCAATGTCATTTCTTTTTTCTCTTTTCAGATGTTGAAAATCAATATACAGATACCAATATGATTCTGGCTGTGATTCTTGGGGCAGGCATAGTCATCATATTAATCATCGTGCTATTACTTGTTTTGAAGAAAAGAAGAGCAGGTTTCCTTTCTTTCTGCTTGTCTCTTCTCCAAGGTTCCAGGGTTTGAGAGTTTGGAACCTCTGTTTCCCAAGGATCTTTTGTGGAGGACAGGAGGAGGGAAGGAGGCTGCAAACCCTGGCTCAGCTGGTCCACTGGGATGATCCCTGGGTGTGATCATGTACCTGCTAATATCCTAAGGGAAGTGACCTATTGAGAAAAGAAGGACCCTGCCTCAGGGCTGCCTGCTCTCCCTTTTGGGTCCCCTCCCACAATATCCCAATAACCATGGGGCTGGGGGTGAAATGCCTCTCCCACTGCTGTCACACAGTTCAATGTTTTTGTTTTATTTTTCAGGTTCCCTTCCTTTGTCTATTCAGCAAACACGTGGTCCCGGTGAGCATTCAGACTCTTAACTCTCTGTCATAAAGCAGGTGGGAAGAACCAAATGGAAGAGAAAAGGGGATAGCAGAGGGCTGGATAATGAGATAGGAGAGAGTCAGAATGCCATTACTCAGGCCACAAGGTGTGAGGGAAGATGAACTGTAATCATGGGTCCTATAGGGTTCACAGGCACAAGCATGCGAACCAGTCACTCACACAGTTTCTCTTGGTGATATCAGGTTTATTCACTACCCTGCTGATGGAGAAACTAAGTGCCAGTGAAAGGGATCCTCCCTTGTTATCCAGCAAGTCCGGGGCACAGGCAGGATTACAGCATCCGAGGCACAAAACCAAACTGCCTGACCGCATCACTGCTGTTCAGCCAGAGTTTGGACAATGAAGAGACACAGTGGAAAGAGAACACATGATAGAAACACAAACACGGGCTCTGGACTCAGAATAGCTTTGGGTCTCATTTCATGTGTGAGTGATGCATGACATCACTTGTGGAGGAAAAGGCATAAGGTTTGAAGTCAGAAGACATGCACTGAGTTCCTGTTCCATCACTTCCTGTGTCACTTTGCCCAAGTCAGCTAAGCCTTCTGAGCCTCCAGTTTCTCATCTCCAAAATAATCAAATCCACTACAGGGGACTCTGAAAAGCTCAATAATATCCCATATGTGAAATAACTGGCTCCATTATGTTTGCCAGCAAGTTGTCTCTAGCCCTTCCATAGGCAGTACCATGTGGTCCCAGGAGCTTCCTGACCCACATGTGCAGCCTGGGGGAGACTCTGAAGCTTTAGGGGACCACCATACTACCTCCTACCCCAAGAGATGTGGTTAGATATTGACCACATGATTGAGAAGGCCAACCCAGAACTCCAAAGACTATCAAGAATGAAAGATCCCTCAGGAAATGAAACGCCTCAAACACCTGCCTATCTGGGGACACCGTGTGCTCTGGGGAGGGCGAGGTCCTGGAATAGCAGTCCCAGAGTCCTTCTGCCACTGACTGTGCCTTCCTGTGTTAACAGCAGAGTCCGCGGGGAACACAGGCGATGCTTCAGTCTCTCCAGTGAACAACACTGTGTATGCTTCAGTCACTCATTCAACAAGGGTGAGTCCTTTCAGCTTTACGCCCCATTGTTGTCAGTTTTACAGCCATTGTTCACAAACTTGCCACCATAACCATCTGACTGATCAAATGACCACTGAGGGGAGGAGAAGACAGCGACAGGGGCTGCAAAGTTATGTGCTAGACCATTCTGGTGTCTGCCGTTCTCGCCCTTAAGGGAATCCTTGTTCATACCCTGCTTCACACTGTTCTCCAGCTGCTTGATGCCCCAGTAAGTCTTGTCCCTTCAGCTTAATTACAAGCTGCCTGAAAGTACAAATTATGTCTTCCTCTCTCTTCCCCTGTATCCTAGCATAATGATCAGTAAATACTTGCTGAATGGGTCAGGGCTCCACTAAGTTTGAAAGTTTCCTATGGATACAGTTCCACAGCAGAGGCCTGACTTCTCACTGTGGTTATAGGGGTCTTAGGGGGAGCTCAGAAGTAGTCCCTCAAGAGGGGAAGGGGGCACAGTAGAGGCCACTAAACCATAAGCAATGGTTCACTCCTCTCCACCCATCTAGCAACATAACAGGATGCTTTGATCAAGCATCAGTAACTCATCTGTCATGCATCAGCAACTTCCCACCACCCCTAAATAAAGGACCTGCAGGTGGCATGTCTCTAAATAATACTATACATTTTGAGAGGCTAGTTTTCATGTCTTCTGAAAAATAAGGCAGGAAAGCTCAGCATTTTCCAAATGATAGAAACAATGATCTAGCTAGAAGTCTTGGATTCCCTTCGATTATTTGCAAAGCATGCTCCTTGATGACAGGGAGCAAGAAGGGGTACTCTCAGTTGCTTAGACATATCTACTGCCTTTCCAAATTCCTCTTGAAGACAAGTCAGTTAAGTCTCCAACAAACCAAAAAACTAATTTTCCACAAATTTATTAGCTTTCTCTTTAACAAAAAGAAAAACAAAAGGTACTTTGGAGAGTTTCTGATTTTTTTTTTTTTTTTTGATGGAGTCTTGCTCTGTTGCCCAGCTGGAGTGCAGTGGCACGATCTCGGCTTACTGCAACCTCCGCTGCCCAGGTTCAAGCTATTCCCCTGCCTCAGCCTTCTGGGTAGCTGGGACTACAGGCATCCACCACCATGCCTAGCTAATTTTTTGTATTTTAGCAGAGACGGGGTTTCAACATGTTGGCCAGGATGGTCTCAATCTCCTGACGTTGTGATCCTCCTGCCTTCGCCTCCCAAAGTGGTGGGATTATAGGCATGAGCCACCGCACCCAGCTGACAATTTTTTTTTTTTTTTGAGACAGAGTCTCACTCTGTCACCCAGGCTGGAGTGCAATGGCACAATCACAGCTCACTGCAGCCTCAACCAGACTAATGTGATCCTTTTACTTCAGCTTCCCAAGTAGCTGAGACTACAAGCATCAAGATAATTTTTCTATTTTTTGTAGAGACAGGGTTTCACCATGTTGCCCAGGTTGGTCTCAGACTTCTGAGCTCAAGTGATCTGCCTGCCTCAGCCTCCCAAAGTGGTGGGATTACAGGCATAAGCCACTGTGCCCAGCCAAGATCTTGATAATTCTCTAAATACTTCTTAATTAATTTAAAGTGTCAAAATATTTGAGCAGGTTCTTGGAGGGGCGTAGGGACTTCTGCTATTATTTCTGGAATGTGCATTCCAGGCAGAGCCATTCTTAAGGCCAAATGTTCCTATTCCCCATGCTTGAGGAGACCCCAATGACATAACGATAAGGCAGTTAGAATTATAGCACAAGATGGAGCAGGCAAAATGGGCAGTTCCAGTTATAGCTAGCAAAAATTTGAGACACAACGTAAAATATAACTATGTGGTATATAAGTCTGTCCTTAAAAATGGAGGAAGGAAAGCAGAGTTGGACAAAGGACAAGAATGCTTCCTTCCCTCCATACAGCAAGGTTGCCTTTCTCTGGCTCTTGACCCACTGGTTTGCTGCCGTGTTGCTCATCTGCTTGGGGCTCAGGAAATGCCAGTAAACCTTCACAGGTCTGAAAGCTAGCGGTGTTTGGTCTCCCACTAAACATTCCCTGGCCTTCCTCTGGAAGAACTTTGACATATGCTCTTTTTGGTCATGCAGCCTTTCCTAAGAATATGTCTATGCATTTAGTCTCTTTGTCTCTGTGTAAGCCAAATTACCATGACTATTTTTACAGGAAATGGAAACCTCAACACCTGTAGAAAATAATCTTCTCACGATTTACTCCACAATTAATGATTCCAAAGAGGTAAGCCCATGATTGCTCCATGTTTTTATATTCTCACCTCTCTCCACAGACCTATGATTTTGCAAATAAAGTAAAAATAAAAGGGTCATTTTACAGATGCACAAATACCAACAGCATACAGAAGTCTTGGGACATCACCAAAACATATCCAAGAAGTTATTTCATACTAGGATCACCATGCCTAACTGAATTTTCAACCTACATGTTTTTTTTACATTTAATCCTACCCTATGCTCTCAATATCTCTACTATCTGCCTGTCACTAGTCTCCAATCCTCTCTCATAGCCATGAGGGGTGGGCTGAGGTTCCAGTTCCTATTAACCTACTTCATCTTCCTCTTTTTCCCACAGAGTAAACCCACTTCTTCCAGGGCAACTGCCTTTGACAATGTCATGTAAGCTGCTGAAAGGCCTCAAAGGAATTCAAGAATGACGCATCTTCTGATCCCATGGAAGAGAACAAAGAGCAGGAAGCTTGCTTTTCTGCCCGCCAACAGAATTTGAATATCTGGGATAGGATTATCATCTCCACTCCTTCGGATTTAAACCTGCTTACCCATGTCAAACACCTAAGGACAACATCACTTCCAGCAGGTGGCTCAGACGATATTTTCCAATTCACTTCAGACCAAAACATGCTAAAGATAACACACCAGCAGACTGACTCTCTCTTTGATAAATAAGCAAATGGAATTATGGTTGACAGAGAGTTTATAATCCAGAAGACAACCACTTCTCTCCTGTTAGAAAGCAGCAGGATTGTGACTTACTGAGAAATAATACAGTGTATTTGTTACATGTGTAGTCTCTGGAGTTGGATAGGCCCATGCTCATATGCTGATACAAGTTGAGCATCCCTGGTCTGAAATGCTTGGGACTAGAATTGTCTCAGATTTCCATTTTTTTTCAGATTTTGAAATATTTGCATTGTATTTACTGGTTGAGTATCCCAAATCCAAAAATCTGAAATTCAAAATCCTCCAATGAGCATTTCCCTTGAGTTTCATTCATGTGGGTGCTCAAAAAGTCTCAGATTCTGGAGCATTTCAGACATTGGATTTTTGGATATGGGATGCTCAACTTGTACAATACTTAATAGACGAATCTCCTGGGACATATTGCCTAACCTCGAGGAGCCTTAGTCTCACAGACAGAAAAAGGAAGAGGATGGTATCATATCAGCTCCATTGTTTGAGCCAATAATCTAAGTCATCCTTAACTCCAGCGTCTTTGTCACCAGGCCCTTTGGACTCTATCTCAAAAATATTTCTTGGACCTTCCACTTCTCCCCCAACTCCTTGACCACCATCCTGTATCACCACCTCTAACCTGGAATCCTACCTTAACCTCAGAACAATTCTTCTCACTTTTGTTTTTTGTCCCTCTCCAACCCACTCTCCACAAGACAGCCAGACTAATGTTTTTTTTTGTTTGTTTGTTTTGTTTTTTTTTTTGAGATGGAGTTTCGCTCTTGTTACCCAGGCTGGAGTGCAGTGGCGCAATCTTTTTTTGTTTTTTTTTTTGAGATGGAGTTTCGCTCTTGTTACCCAGGCTGGAGTGCAGTGGCGCAATCTCGGCTCACCGCAACCTCCGCCTCCTGGGTTCAGGCAATTCTCCTGCCTCAGCCTCCCGAGTAGCCGGGACTACAGGCACGCGCCACCATGCCCAGCTAATTTTTTGTATTTTTTTAATAGAGACGGGGTTTCACCATTTTGACCAGGATGGTCTCGATCTCTTGACCTCGTGATTCACCCGCCTCGGCCTCCCAAAGTGCTGGGATTANTCGGCTCACCGCAACCTCCGCCTCCTGGGTTCAGGCAATTCTCCTGCCTCAGCCTCCCGAGTAGCCGGGACTACAGGCACGCGCCACCATGCCCAGCTAATTTTTTGTATTTTTTTAATAGAGACGGGGTTTCACCATTTTGACCAGGATGGTCTCGATCTCTTGACCTCGTGATTCACCCGCCTCGGCCTCCCAAAGTGCTGGGATTACAGGCGTGAGCCACCACACCCGGCCCAGACTAATGTTTTTAATATAAATTGGATCCTTCAGTTGCTGTTTAAAACCCTGTAGGCTTCCCAATGCCCTCAGAATGAGATCCAGTTTCCATGGCCCTAGTTATTCTAGTCCAACTTCAGCCTCATCTAGCATTCCCCTTCCAACACCCTCTATGTAGCCTCCCTGATCTTCTCAGCTCTTCTATTAAAGGAAAAGTTCTTTATGTTAGTTATTTACATCTGTCTGCAGGCCCTTTGTCTGCATGCTGGGGTCCTCCTATTGTTTAGCTCTTAACTTAAATGTCACCTCCTAAGAGAGACCTTCCCAGATCACTCTATCTAAAATGAATCATCTAGGCTGGCAGCTGTGGCTCATGCCTATAATCCCAGCACTTTGGGAGGCCGAGGTCTGCAGATCACTTGAGGTCAGGAGTTCAAGACCAGCAGGCCAACTTGTTGAAACCTCATCTTTACTAAAAATACAAAAAAATTAGTCTGGCATAGTAGCGCATACCTAAAATCCCAGCTACTGGAGAGGCTAAGCCAGGAGAATCACTTGAACCTAGGAGGCAGAAGTTGCAGTGAGCCAAAATTGTGCCACTGTACTCCAGTCTGGGTGACAGAGCAAGACACTGTCTCAAAAAACATAAATAAATAAAATAAAACAAAATAAATAGATATTATTCTGTTATACCTTCTGTGTCATTTATCACATCCTTAAATATTTATTTTTATTTTTTTAATGTCTATTTCTCCCAGTATACCCTAAGCTCTTTAAGAACAAAGACAATGACTGTTTTGTTTATCACTGTAACCCTGGCATATCTAGCATATGGCAAGTGTTCAATAAATTTTTTTAATAAATAAATGAATACATAATGGATTTTTATTAAAATGAAATAAGACAATACACCTGGAGCCCTTAGCATAACTCTCAGCCACATAAAGGAGCTCAATAAATGTCAGTCAGCATTGTTGGTATTATGATATATTTAGTACAAATTAATAACAGTATAAATTAATTATTATAACTAAGTTATACAGAATCATCTCACAAACCTTCAGTACAACAAAACATTGTGACGGAGACCAGCTCTCAAGACCACAAGGTTCAAAGGGAAGGGGTTGGGGAGTTGGAGTGGGGAAGAACTGAAATAATGGCTGAAAACAATAAAAAAGAAAAACAAAGCTCGTCAAAGTTAATTAATCTCAAATACCAGCTCTCAATTACATTATTAGTCAGTGGAGTAGGGCAAGATAGAGAAGCTTAATCAGGAAGAAGGATGAGTTTCCAAGGAATAGATTCATGGAAACTTCAAAGAAAAGAGAAAAAAGAGGGTTACTGCCATGTCCGTGCAAGATGACCTGAAGCTCAGGGGAAATCTCACTGGGCAGGTAAGAGAATGCTTTCCTTTCAAGGGGATCAAATTTTGAAGACTTCCAAGGTTCTTCAGAGTGGGAGAAGGAATAATCTGTAAAGTTAGTGCAGGTAGAAAAATACTTGCAACATCTAGGGTGCCCAAAACCAGCAAGAAAATTAGGGGATATGTCATGGAATGCACTAGTAATTCATCTGGAGCGGGAAATCTACCAGAATCTACCCTTAGTCTGGACTGCCCTGGGGAGGATCAGAGACAAAACAAAACTAAGGGCATATCTATGGCTGTCTAAGAGGTGGGTAAGAAAATAACTCATAAGAAAAACTAAGCTCACGTGTCATTATAGACCAACTACTAAAGCATAGACTTCCTGACTCTTCTATTTCCTTCAATCTTTTCAACCTTCCCCCTTTCCATTATAAATATCACAGTCTATTCTCTTGGCTTCTGCAGCACTACATTCCCCTAGTTTTACTCCTTCCTTCCTAGCTGCTTCTTGGGCTCTTTGAAGATCCACTTCCTCCTCTGCAGCACAAGTAAAGACTAGAGCTGTCGCTTCTCAGCCTTTTGGCTAAAATCAAGTGTAAAGACGAGAGCTAAGGCTCACATGTGGGTCCCTTTCACTTCTACATCTATGCGCTCTTCTTATCTGATGCCAGCCATTCCTATTGCCTTAATGCCATTTATAAGCTAAAGGTTCCCAAACACATCTTTAGTCCTGACCTCCTGGTTTACCTCACTAACTGCCTACTTGGCATCTCCATTTGCATATCTGGTAGGCATATCAAAGTTTTTTAAAAAATCAAAACCCTTGGGCAGGTGCGGTGTCTCACACCTATAATCCCAGCACTTTAGAAGGTTAAGGCAAGTGGATCACTTTAGGTCAGGAGTTTGAGACCAGCCTGGTCAACATGATGGAACCCTGTCTCTACTAAAAACACAAAAATTAGCCAGGCGTGATGGCAGATGCATGTAATCTCAACTACTCAGGAGGCTGAGGCAGGAGAATCACTTGAACCCGGGAGGCAGAGGTTGCAGTAAACCAAGATCATGCCACTGCACTCCAGCCTGGGCTACAGAGTGAAATTCTGTCTTAAAAAAAAAAAAATCAAAACTCTTGATTTCTTTCATCAAGTCTTTTATTCTACTATGCTTTTTCATTTCAGTAAATGGTACCATTGTTGTGGGACACGGATTTGATCTTCTTCACAAAACTGAAAACTACTCAATATTCACCGTGTAATGAATCGTTTTTGTTTTCTTGTGAATTTAACCAACAAACGGATTTAATCAACAATAACCTAATCTATTGTTCTGAAGGTAAATACATTAAGAACTGGATGTCCCATTCCCAAAAGATAAAGTATGCCTTTTGCAAGCAGGGAAAAAATCATGCAATGCTTACAGAATTCCTACCAAAAAAACAAACTTTCTTTGCCCAGGAGGTAAGCTTGTTCTTTAATATTTTTCTTGTAGAATTGAGGAAATGGTAACCCTATTAAACTACTTTGATGAAGGTAAGAAGGCTATTATTGGCTGTCCTGGGAAGGTAATAAAAGGGAATAAAAATACTCTTCCCTCTCTGCCAGTCCCCAGTCATATCCACTGGGTGGCCACAAAGCCTTGGCATGGCCTACAAGACCCCTACTCACATCTCTACTCCTTCTTTCACAGCATTCCAGCCACACTGTTCTTTATTTGGCTCCTAGAATAATCCAGACTCTCCTTCCTGCTTCTGTGCCTTACGCATACTGGAACCACATCCCTACAAGGCAACGATTAGCTGGTGCTGCATAGCCTCTGTCCTATACTAAACGGGGCTTGCACTTCACATTTCACCCCCAGCCTGCCCTGCCTACTTCACTCACTTATGATACCTGCCTAGTACTGAAAATAGTTAAGTTTCCAACCTCTTACCTACACCATGAAGCTTTGCCCCACTTCATGTTGGTCAAAGGAGCACATTACTCCCAAAATAACAGTGTCTGATCTCCCTTGTCCACACCCCCTCCCACCCCCACCAACACCTGAACCCCGTGTGGCTTTAAGACACTTACCTGAAGCATTTAGAGTTTAGCCTCCCTCAGGGTCCACTGTATACGTTGATACGAAGAAACTGGCCACAGCTGGATGCAGAAAAGAGAGAAGGTTACCCTGTCCACGGTCATTGAATAGACATTTCACCCCGGGCTTCAAAGAATGGGCTGATAAGTGACTTCTCAAATAAGGAGGGAGCAAGTCTGACTCCCTGACTTTCCCCTTCCCAGAGGCGATCTAACCTGACCTTTTACTAGCAGACCTCTAGAATGAATGGCCATGTCCAGAGCTTTCACTTCCTCACCCTTAGCCCACTCTTTTGAAACTGCACTCTTGAAGGATACCAACCTCTAGAGGCAGGGATCTTTTCTCTGCATTCTGGTGCTCTCTGCAGCATTTGGCATTATAATTCCCCACCACCCCTGAGGTTTCCCTCCTTTTAATGCCAGTCACATCATCCTAGTTTTCTCTTTCTGACTCCTCCGTACCTCTCCCTAGCTTGGTTTCTCTTATTACTTAAGTCCCATAATTAGATTTGTTTCCCTAGGTTCTGCTGACTGGATATTTTCCTGGATGCCTCATAATTACCTTAAATTCTGTTTTTCATTCTCCCTTTGACTTCTAATGACCCAAGGAAAGTAGAACATCCCTTTCAAAGACCCTCTCAGGATCTGACAACAAGCCAAAACACAGGGTGAATTCATGGCAATTTAAGACACAAGGGGGAATTAATTCAAATATCTAACTTCTTAGCACAGAGATGTTCAAGGGAAAAGGGTGCGGGAAAGGAGCCTGCCTGTGATAGAGGGCAGAATGTGCCGTTTAAAAGGGCATAGTCAATATTATAATATTACATTTAGAAAGCAAAAAGTACCTATTAATGCATCCTACACATCATTTGTTTAATAACTAGTTATTATTTAGTCATTCACTTAGTAAGCATTTAACTGCCAACTGTGTGCCAGTTACTAAAAAAACACTGGGTATGTGACTTTGAACAAGATAAAAATGGCCTCCACCCTTAAGGAGATAACAGATCATAAGCATAAAGACAGTTTACAAATATATAAATGATATCATATATT